TCCCAAATTCCCCCTTATTTTCTTAAAAGTCTGTTGCCTGCGACCCCTTGTGGTACTGATTTCTGTATCCATCAGGGTTTTTAGTTGTAAGCAGCAGACATCAACCCTGGCCTTTTCAAGCAAAAAAGGAATTTGTCAAAACCTTATTGGGGCTACAAAACAGAGATGCTCAAAGACCAATGGGGTCATGTCACCAGTCTTTGGGTGACATGGGAACTGACTTCAAGGGGCTCCCACTCCAAAAAAGAGGCCTCTTAGAGCCAATCAATCAACATCAACCCCATCCAGAGACCCGGCTATGGATGACACCACCCCATCCACAGCTCTCAAAGTCTGCCCATTCCTGAACTGCCAGCTTCCTGAAAAACCCAGTGTAAGATCAGCAGTCAGCTCTGCTCAGGGATCCTGGGCCTGACCAGCACAGCTCATAGTTACTATAGTAAGCAAAAAATCAGCTTTATATTTTTATTTCAGATATTGAGAGGTGGTCTCATCATCCTTGGATATTTCCCTAACCTGTATTAATAATTCCTAACCTGAAATCTAGTCATCTATTAAGAGTTTGACTGGGCAAACACTTAGTGTGAGCACCAACAACTAATTTCTTTCTTTCTTTTTTTTTTTTTTAAGCTGAGCCATCCTGCCACCTGTTGGCAGCTCAGTGGCAGCTCAGCTTGGGCTGGGCATCAAACCGCTGTTGCTCAGAGCTCGTACTCTTGAGCGATCTCTTAACCAACCGGGCCGCTCGGCCGGCCTCCATTTTTTTGTGGTTTTTTTTTTATACCATATCCAGTTGTCTCCATGCTATATTGAAAATTCCACAAAGGGCCAGGTGTGTCCATTGTTCACTGCTGTAATCTAGGACGGCCTTGTATGGTTGATCACTCAATAAATAAAACAAGTATTTGTGAATGAATTGTTCTTATTTCTCAACTGAAATTGGAATAATCCTACTCTAGATAGATAGGGAAGGGGGAAAGAAAAACAAAACAAAATCTAATATTTTAGCTATTAACTTTTTTTTTAGACTAGAGAAGGTATGATTGATTAGGAATCAGTTTTGATTGTAAAGGCAAACGAAAT